GTGGAGACTCCCTGTAAGTCCATAAAAGTTATAGGACCCCCGGACCAGCCAATAAGGTCCGATAACTTTGAGCGCGAAAATTTTGTGAGCTCCTTTTTGAAATCTACTTGCACCCGGTCTTCTGTACACTTTCAGTCTACAACCCTGACTGCTTGCCGGCCTGCGTCGTTGACCGAACCGAAAATGTCGCAGAACCAGTCGCCCTCGCCGATTCCTTCTGGCAATATCTCGGCTATCCTACCCATGGCATTAGCAGCAGCAGTAACAGCTGCGGCCTGGCTGCCGGTAAGCCGGTTGCCGTCCGGCGAAAGGGACAGAAGCAAGTGCATGAGAACGGGCAGAAGCCCGGCGACGACCTGTAAGATAACCTCGACCCTCATTTCTCCTTTACAGACTACAATATTGTCCTCGAATTAGGGTGTTTTGGCGCTAAATGACGTGCAAAAAGATGGTTTCGGGGCTACTAGTGGAAACACCATTTTGTTAGGGTTTGTTAGCGCGCCAATAACTTTTTCGCGGCTAACAAACAGACTTTTCAGTGGAAACACCCTGTTAGGGCGGATTAGGCGGATTAAGGTTGGCGCGATTAGTTAAGAGATTTCCGCCCGTATTCACGCGCTTCGCGGATTAATTATAGATTAATAAGCTATGAAATGCGAGCATTCTTCCTATACTAAAAGCTCAAACTTGGTGGGAAAAATTTGCTACCTGGTGACAATTTCGGATTAAACCTGATGACAATTTCGGATTAACACTTTTCACAACGCCTCAGACAAAGCCTGATTGATATGTTGGAAGGTTATCCTTTATAAAGGCTGTAGGTGTTCCTAGTTTTGTGGAAGCTTTGTGCTTCTTGTTCGGCATTATGCACCACACGTTGGTGTCGTTCAAAGGTGCTGCAAGGCCTTCATGTTGATACTCGATAGTCTTTTAAGTGTCTGGCAATACTCGTTTTTGCATTTTATGCACGGAATGGCAAATGTTGTACTTCAATCCGTTTCTTAATCCAGACGTATGAAACACTCCGACGGATTAGCGGTGAATTGGCGCGGATTATAAGGGTGTATTTCCAGTGCGGATTAAGGCCAGGGATTAAGGTCCCGCTATTCCCGGCTAATCCCCGGCTAATCCCTGGCAATTCTTAAGGCCTGGGATTAGCGCTGGGATTAAGGCCGTACAAAGGGCGATGCATACTTCCTATGTGATTCTGAAGCTAAAATTGTTAAGTTCTGGACTAGTTTGGGCATTAGGAATTGAATCAGTATTAGATATGAACAGGAAGCGCACTCTTCTCGCCGTTCATCTCTTCATCACCTTTTGAGCAACCCAAAACAGGAATTGCTTATTTGAGATCATATATATGGAACTACCTAGAAATTAACGTCAGACATGGCGCCGTGAATGCTAATCCAGATACGGAAAGTTACTACCTGGCTCGAGCCAGGTAATAACTTTTTTGTCACAGGGTGTATTTCCAGTGCGGATTAACGTCGGGGATTAACCCTCTGTCGTCCATCGATACTTGCTCAAACGGCTAAGTTGTTGGCAAACTTACCTCGCCTTTCTAACCTTTGGTTCCCTTATGGAACGAAACTATGTGGTAAGCTCCTACCAAGGACTTCCGTGCCCTAATCCCTGGCCTTAATCCGCACTGGAAATACACCCACAGGTTGCCAGGTAAATACATGGGCATCAAGTTCAGTTTATGTTCTTTCCTAATCTCTTGCTAGCTCCCGCTAATCTTCTGATTAGAGAACACGGTGTCCTGAGGAATTTCTTAATCCCCGGCTAATCCTGCTTAATCCCGGTGGGATTTCCACTGCCGGGATTAGCGCAGGGATTAACGCTAATCCCTGGCCTTAATCCGCACTGGAAATACACCCTAAATGCCTTAATCCGCGACTTTTAATCCAAGTGGAAACATCCCCATAATTGAATTCTGAGATGACAGCGTTTGATAACTTGAACACCCAGCTTGTGTTACCATTTGCCCGCATGGGCATTCCGACTTGCCACCAGCAGGCCGGCAAATTTGCTTTCATTTCTCTATGAAATACGCAAGCTGCTCGTTTGTACATTTACTTTAGCCAATGCTCGGGGCCTCCGGAGACTTGCGGTGTGCCGCGCTGTGGGGGGGATTGCTGAGGCCGCTGGCGCTTCGGGGATAAACATCACAGACAGCACCGAACTTCACCCAGCTTGCGTTACCATTTGCGCACACGGGCATTCCGACTTGCGGCATGCACCCGGGATGGATGCGATTCACGTGGAGCCCGCAAGCGGTGCTGACGATTCCGCCGTTGCAAGCTTAGCTCCCACACCATCAGCACTGCTGCAACAAGCACATCTCCCACTGTGTTGACACTACCCATCAATTGTCACACGTGCCGCGCTAGCTACCGGCCTGTACGGATGCAGGGGGCACCCACCCTTTTTCCGGCTTTGAGGAAGCCGGCACTCGACTTGTCCAGAGGTGTGCAGCATATGCTTTGCGGGTAAGCTAGCCATAGATCATATTTACATGCTGCAAGGGAAGCGGCAGTAAGCGGTGGGGCTCGAACAGCTTTAGTGACCAACCTCGTGGTGACCATTTACAAATGGCCTTTGCCACAGGCTTTGGATGCACGAGGCCCTGGACGGTCCCACATACGCCTCTGGAATCAGACCTGTCTGCTGTGACGCACTGCATAGCTCAGAAGGACTAGGACAGCAGCAGCAGCATGGGGCAGAAGTAGATACAGGACCTGCAGGTACTGCTGTTGTTGCCATGGCAGCAGTGTTGCCCCCTACAGGACCATGGAAGGGTACACACAGCGGACAAATGGATCACGCTGCGCCACCTTCTGATGGCAGCGGCACTGTGGCAGATTCGGGTTGCACACGGAGGGATGGAGAGGTAGCAGGGGGTCTACTGGCAGTGGCGGTGGCCATATCAGGGGCAGTGCTGTCCACATGCCTCCACGGGTGGTGACACGTCTGCCGCTGCTCATGCTGCCCCTCTTGGACAGGGGGGGGCCCCCTGCAGACCGCCACCGCCACCACTGGTACCGTCAGTAGCAACGTGGCTGAATGCTGTATGTTCTGTTCGGCAGGTTTGGGTGAGTGTGAGCACTTCTGAACCTATGCTGATGTTCGTGTCCAACAAGTGTGCTGAACACGGATGCTACACGAACTGTACACGTGTTGCTTAGCTTACAACGTGACGCGCCAACGATGACTTGAATGCACATACATTCACCCGTGCGCCAAACGCCTTGTAACACTCCCACAACACTCACAATAGACTGCTGCACTCGTCTCTCCAGTCCTGCCACATCATGATTCACTGATGGACTTCGGCACCTTCTCCATCTATTTCCTTTAATATGCGGGCAGCTGCTTCACCAGGACCCCCATGTTTTTAGTTATGTAGAACACGCAGTTGTTTTTTGCGATGGGAAAATGAACCAAAATAGGTTTGGTGGCGTCTCATGGTTGATGGTGTAGTAGCTGGTACACAGTACGGCTCTACAAATACACGCTACACACGACCACCAGCATCTCGAGAGGCCTTTTCAGCGGCCAGCTACTACATTCGGTATCGAGACCAGGTACCGTACCGTGTAGTTTCTCTCTCTCATTACCATTTTAACGTCTCTTCGCTGAGGTAGCGGGTAGAGACAACCAGGAGCCAGCTAAACTACACCGACCCGCCATGGACAAGAAGCAACGAAACTTACCTAGTAATGGAGAATGAGGTATGGAATTCTGTTCTCTTATTTGCCAGTTCTTTGTTCCTGTCAGCAGCACTGAGCCACAAGCGTGGTGTCGGCGGGTTGACCGGCTGAGAGGGTTGACCGGCTGAGAGAGGCGTGACTGAAGGCTTTACCGTCTTTCGTCGGGATTTACGAGAATAAAAGCGTTCCTGCAGTCAGTGCCAGCTGGTGTAACTACTGAAGAGAAAGGCAAGCAAGCATACCGAGTTGACTGACCCATTGACAAGCAGCGACCGACGGACCAGTCCGACAAAGTCATCCATGTCATCCATGTGGAAACATTATTGCAATGAAGCGACGACAGAGCACCCGCCTCAGAACCGAGCCCAGACCACCTCCATCTGACTTTCCCGACCTTGGCCTTTTGGCTTGCTTGTAGTGGGCGCTGGTGAGGCGCGCGATTGAAGACGATGGGGAGGAGATGAATCCCCCAGACAGACTGGTGAGTGGTCAGAACATGAGACCGGCAGAGTAGAGAACACAGCAGCGCACACTCGTGCTTTTTGATTCAGAAGCGCGACGCGACGCGAACTAGGCAACGTGAGAGAGAATACGTTCCGTTTGGAGAAGAGGAGTGGTAGCCAGCGGTGAGAAGACACGCTTTGCCCAACGGAATATGCCCATCCTGCCACGTGTAGAGGCAGGGACTGATCCATCCCGCAGTGGCAGTTTTCCTCTAGTGACGCGGGAACCGAGACACCTAGCGATGTGAGAACTGAGACCACTAGTGTTGCAGAGGCTGACCACCCTAGCAATCAGGAAGTAAACCCATGGCGACTTTCTTAGCATCTTACGGAGGCCGATTCCTTTAGTGTTTTCCTTTGGGGGCTGGTCCTTCCTAGTGCTTCAGAGGCCGACCCTCCTAGCGAGTTGGAAGCTGATCCTCCTAGCGAGTTGGAGGCTAACCCTCCTAGCGAGTTGGAGGCTGACCCTCCTAGCGAGTTGGGGGCTGATCCTTCCTAGTGCTTCAGAGGCCGACCCTCCTAGCGAGTTGGAGGCTGATCCTCCTAGTGAGTGGGAGGCTGACCCTCCTAGCGAGTTGGGGGCTGACCCTCCTAGCGAGTTGGAGGCTGACCCTCCTAGTGAGTTGGAGGCTGACCCTCCTAGCGAGTTGAGGGCTGATCCTCCTAGCGAGTGGGAGGCTGACCCTCCTAGCGAGTTGGAGGCTGACCCTCCTAGCGAGTTGGAGGCTGACCCTCCTAGCGAGTTGGAGGCTGACCCTCCTAGTGAGTTGAGGCTGATCCTCCTAGCGAGTTGGAGGCTGATCCTCCTAGCGAGTGGGAGGCTGATCCTCCTAGCGAGTTGGAGGCTGACCCTCCTAGCGAGTTGGAGGCTGATCCTCCTAGCGAGTTGGGGGCTGATCCTCCTAGCGAGTTGGAGGCTGACCCTCCTAGCGAGTTGGAGGCTGATCCTCCTAGCGAGTTGGAGGCTGACCCTCCTAGCGAGTTGGAGGCTGATCCTCCTAGCGGGTTGGAGGCGGATCCTCCTAGCGAGTTGGAGGCTGACCCTCCTAGCGAGTTGGAGGCTGATCCTCCTAGCGAGTCGGAGGCTGACCCTCCTAGCGAGTTGGAGGCTGATCCTCCTAGCGAGTTTAGATGCTGACTCCCTTAGCGAGTTGGAGGCTGATCCTCCCAGCGAGTTGGAGGCTGATACTCCTAGCGAGCCGGATGCTGACCTCCTAGCGAGTCAGAGCCTAACCCCAAAGCGAGTCGGAAGCAGACCCCGACAATGTAGGAAGTAATCCCCTTACGCGAATTGCGCCACACTGCTCGGCGGACTTGAATTAGCATACCCAATATTAGGATGACGAGGCAAGGCGAGGGAAGCTAGACCAAACCCTGGTGGCCTGCACCACTTTCCGCCCCTACAGGAGGTCAACACGCATGCAAAACAACTCTGCCCATGGGCCAACAGCGAACCCCCGAAGACCAAAGAGACACATCCCATGGCACAACTAACGCAAGCAACCACAACACAACACAAAAGGACGGGAGGGGGAGATCCTCAACTGCGTGAAGGCGGTCTAACGAGCCAATCACCCGAGCAAGGGGCAGGAGGGTGTGAGAACAGAGACATCGCATTGGAAGGACGCGAGAGACGCGGGGTGGGGGTGGAAGAGGCCCCCGCCACTGCACACATGAATCTACCGAACAACCAACAAGCCGCCGACCAGGGCCCCGATTCAGGAAATTCCCGCCAAGCGAGACTCCAGAGAAGGCCTCTTGGCCTGGGGGGAGGCTCACCCCTGCACATGCCATTGGTACAGCTTCTGGGATCGCCGACAGCACGTTCACCTGCCACCAGGCGACAGCGCCTAGATACCCCAGGAAGGGCACAAGCCACAGGCGAGAAGGCGGCAGTCGATCTCCTCACTGTGTGGGAAGCGACGGCCTACCTGGCAGACCGGCACCCAACCCATCGAGACCTGTTTGGTAAAGCAACCTGGGAAGGTCTGAAAACCTGAACCCCGCAAGAAGTGCTGCCTGCGGAACAGTGCGACAGCAGACGAGGGTGATAAGGCATCAGGTTCCCAGCCCCTGGCCACAGGTGCAGCAGGGCGGCAAGCTCGGCTGTTGGCCCAAACTAATATGTGCCACCAGATCCTTCACCAGCACGGATTAGCGGGGCTGCTGGCAGCGCACGCTGCGGGCATTCTGGACCTGGATGGCGTGCTCTTGACTGTGAAGTGCGGAAATGCACCTAATGGCGCTTGGGCAGGAACCTGAGCCCACGGAGCCCCGGGTCCCCACCCGTCTAGAAGGACGACAGGCTGCCCTGCCCTTGGGGCTACAAGCGAACGTGAACCCAGGTAGCAGAGTCATGGAGTGGGGTGGCCACAGCAACCCAGAGGCTGGTGTTTGGCTTACCGCTGGCTTAGCGGCCCCACCCCATTCTGACTGGGATTGGCAGGAGACCCCGGTGATGGGAAGGAATCACGAGAATAGCAACTCATATCTGGCGGCAGCAGGCAACCTCAGTTGGGACAATATGGGTATACCATTCGCTCTGAAAGGCGCCCCACACATGGTGGCCAGCCCAGCACCGGTGCAGGGCTACAGGGGCCAAGAAGCAGATTCAGGGGGTTTGTCCCTGCTGGGAGGTAAGCTCCTCCTCGGAAACATGCTCTTTGGCCCAGTAGAGACTGACGCCCGTGGCTTGAGTATCTGGAAGATCGAAAGGATGCCGGAGCTGTGGCAGCTGCAACCTCCGGCCACGGGATTGGGGGGCAACCCTGGCCACGGGATTGGGGGCCAACCCTGGCCACCTGGCTGCCCAAGCGGCGGTGGTGACAGTAGAGCGCCATCATGAGACCCTATTGCGAGCAAACACCAGCATGGATGGCACCACGCACACACACCACCTGACGGATGCAATTGTGGGTGGCATACTTATGTCCCTGGGCGCCTGAGCCCCATTAACGAGCATCACGAGCGCGGTTGAGGCAGTCATCTAGGGGGCAGCAGGGCCCCTCATTGGCGACCTCATGACAGCGCTGTCGGGCCCAGTGGGACTGTCATACACTCAGTGGGTGGCAGACTGCCTAACCAGCAAACTGCAAGAGCTGCTCGTGCTGCTAACTGTGTACTCTGCAACCTATGATGTGGACGTTCACACAGTCAGCAACAGGCTGGCAACCCTACTGGGCGGATTGGAGATGGCCGGCTGTGCCTTAGGTCTGCTGGACCCGCACCACCCCCACCTGGATGCCCCACAACACGCATGGCTATTGGCCGCAGCATCTGAGCTCACCAGACGCGCTGTATGCGACGCACATATGACCGAAGAAATGTGGGCAAAAGGCTTCGGTCCACAACTGGGCTGCCTGTGGCACCTGCTGGAGCAGGTGGATGAAGTGGTCAAGCTTTTACGACCAACACACACCGCTGCACGATACCACAGCGGCTGGCAAGCAAGCAACGGTGGGGGCGCATGCATCCTGGGTAGTCCCCGGGGTGGGGCGACAGGCGGAGATCAGGCGGCAGGAGTGAGGGGCGGGTTCGGCAGCGGGTCCGGTGGGGGGGGAGGGCCGACAGGGCGGGGGCTGCCAAACCGCCACCCTGGCAGGGCGCGGCAGGCAAGGGCCTGCACCGTGGCAGGCGGCCCTTGATACAGTGAAAGATGAGCTCAGTAGGCACAATCTCCCAGCAGAGCTGTGCCAGGACAGCGACAACCTGTTCCGGATAGCCAAGTCCCTTCATCCAGCTATTTGCTGCAATGTGGCACTCCTGGGGAAGCCATGCCCATATGGCGGCCCCCCAAGCTGCAAATTCGAGCACAATGACCTCAAGTGGACAGTTTGGCGCTTGGTGACGGAGTTGGCTGCGAAGAGACAGGCAGGGCCCAGCTTTGGAGGGGGCTAAGCGGTACTTGGCGAGTTAGTCCGGGAAACTAGGGTGGACCTAGCGATAGAACACCTAGTGCTCAGGAAGGAAGGCGTGATTTGTGGGCGAGGCGCTTGGGTAGCTCTCTTGCTACCGTACCTGATAAGGTGCAGGCATTTGATTGGCTGTTACCTTGACACTGGCTGCAGACGGCGATTGAGAGTAGCAACTGGCCGGAGAGAGAGAAAAAAGGAACGCTAGACCCAGACACCAGTCAGATCGGGAAGGGTGAGAGATCACATGGGGCAGAAGACCCCCTATCACCGGAGATAGACGGTCAAGATGCTGGCACCTGGTGCAACCCAGAAGAAGACATGCTGTTGATGCTCTTTAAGAAAGTGCCTGTCGCCAACACCTTTCCGCCCGACGTCGCGTTACCTGCACCACCCGAGACAAACTGTAACACCAGGCAAAGAGTACTCAGTTGGGAGATGCCATAGAAGCTGATCCCTCTTACATTCCTCCTCCCCTCGAGTGAACGTCCTCGGGTGCCCCCAGGCATATCCCATAGGATTTTAGGTTGTTTTTGAGATCCCGTAGGATTGTGAGTCTGAGTGTTATTGACATTTCGTCAGTCCCCATCCGAGATGGAGGACTTTGTTTTTACTCAGCTGGTAAACTTCTCACCCACCCAGGCATCCACTTTAGGGGTAAGAGTATGCTGCATCTTGCCTGGTGTGCGATATGTTCGCAACCGGAATCGATCCAGGGAGTTCCCACCTCCTAGAAATTCGCACCAATGTAACACCAGGCAAAGAGTACTCAGTTGAGAATGCCAGGGGAGCTGATCCCTCTTACACAGACCTACCGCACGCAGCAGAACAGCTGAACCGGGCATGCCTCGGCATCATCGCGGCAACACATGCTGGGCCCTCAGACACACCGCCGACGCCAGAAGCGAAGTTCGAACAAGATGTACGAAGCACAGCTCGAAACCCAGCCGATTTCCAGCCAGGTCTCCCATGAGCATGCAGCCCGTTATGGCGCCGCTACTTCGAACTCCACAACGGGACATGATCGTTAACTTGCAACCAACACCTGTTGCTAGCATTCTTAGAGGAAGGAGTGTGCTTCACCTGGGTGGGAACGCCCGGCTTGGGACCCTCAGTTCCCCCACAGCGCCGCAAGAAGCACCGTATAGTCCTCCAAATGATCAGCCAAGCCACTGGCCGCGAGGTGGACCCAGAAACTTACCTAACCGGCAGAATGCCGCATGCCATCCAGTTCCCCAATCACCGCAGCACCAACTTGCATAGCGCGTTTGTCACGTCAGAGATCCAGAAATGCTTGGACATGGGGGTGATGTGAAAGTGGCCCTCAGAGTGGGGACCACCAACGGTCATCAACGGCCTACGGGTAGTAGAAGGCAAGAAGCTGCGCCTATGCATGAACCCCATGTACCCTAACCTCGTCATGGAGATCCCGCCGCTAAAATACGAGCACATCTCGGACTTGCCAGGCTTCCTGCGAAGGGGCGATTACCTCTTCACAACAGACGACAAAAGCGGTTACTGGAACCTACTGCTGCACCCAGACATGTACTGCTTTGCCGCCTTTGAATGGGGTGGCGACTTACACTACTGGCTCATAATGGTGTTCGGTTTCACCCTGGCCTGCTGGGTCTACAGCCTGCTGGAACAGGAGCTGTTTCGACCGATGTGAGAGCAAGGCTTAGACCTGGCTTACCTAATTGACGACTGTGCGGTGGCAGCGAGGACACTCACGGTGGCACAACACCTGTGCCGAGCAGTCGTCGACCTACTCACGACTTTGGGTTTCACCCTGAGCCTCGAGAAATGCCAGCTGCGACCGTCCCACCGTGTCAACTTTCTAGGCTTCATTGTCGACACGCAGTGCGAGGTATTCGAAGTACCTGAGGACAAAGTACACCAGCTGGCCGAATCGGTCGAGTACCTGGAGACCACGGGACCGAATTCGATCACAGCCAGGGAAGTAGCACGGGTGGCTGGCCGGATCATGGCTATGAGCCCGGTGGTGGCTACAGTGCTGCTCCACGCGTGTGTGGCTGGGTGGGCAGCAGCAGGAGCAGCAGACTGGGACGAAGCGGCGGGAGACCCAGCCACTTTCCTCTCCAGGGCGCGGCTTTTCCTCACCCTGCTGCGCCTCAAGAACGGTAAGATGTGGTGGCAGCGTGGTCCAGCCCTAGTGCTGAGAGTGGCAGGGGACGCCTCCGAGAAAGCCTACACCGCCTACCTGCCGGATCTGCCGGATCGTCAACTAGGGGAAGGAGAAGCGAGCGAGATGAGAGTGCTGTTCACCCCGGAAGAGTCAGAGTGCATGGCCCGGGGGGAAATGTCTAGTACAGAACGGGAAATTCGCATGGTAGCGCTAGCGCTCGACTGGATCAAGTGTGAGGGCCCACACTTGCTAGCAGGAAGGTCGTTGCAGTATCACACCAACAGCCAGGCCGCAACCTTGTGCGTGCTAGGTATGAAAGGGCAGGGCTTGTGCCTGCAGCGAGTAGACGAGCTGTACATGAAGTGCGCAGAGTGGGACCTGGAGGTGCAGCTGGTCTGGCACCCATGCTCGGAGCAGCAACAGCAGTACACGGACATGCTCTCCAAGTTCGAAGACAGCTCGCAGTGGTGCTTAGATGACGCGGTGTTTGCAAGTCTGTGGGCGGAGCCATGTCTGAAAGGATGCAGGCCCACGGTAGACATGTTTGTGGACGAGTTCTCCACGAAAATACCAGGGCGCTTCTTTGCTCGCTATTGGAGCCCCCACACCCTTGCGGTAGACGCCTTCACCCAAGACTGGGGAAAATGGAGCCGCCAGGGCATTCTGTACCTTAACCCCCCGTTCGACCAGATGGGGCGAGTAGTGCACAAGATTGCTGAGGAGAAGCCGGACTGCGTCCTGATCACGCCGGTTTGGCCACGATGGTGGAGAGCTAGGCTGGCAACGTTACCCATCAAAGCGTGGAGGCGTTTACCACACATCTCCACCCTGTTCAGGCCGGATCCCCAGGTCCCAGGCGGCGCAGAGAGGAAACCGAAGGCCCCAAGTTATGTGGTCGAAGTAGTGTACATTTTGTGGTAAAGGGCAAGGCCCGACTAGGCGCGAGAGTACGACAGGGACGATAGCGAAGGCGAGGATCCAGGGAAGCCCAGAATCATGACAAGGCTGAGACTGGCAGACGAGCCGCAGGGGTGTGTGGCTGGGATGTGGTGTGGCCTGATTAAACATTGGGATCGGGTGTAAGGCTAGATGCAAAGGCCCACTTCATGCTAGTCAGTTACGGAGCGACGAGCATTTACATTCAAGCACTTACAGAGACTTAAATGCTCGCAACAACGGTGGTACAACAGCAAGAGAACTCCAACATAGCAAGCATCCGCGCAAACCAGTTTCTCTCTCTCATTACCATTTTAACGTCTCTTCGCTAAGGTAGCGGGTAGAGACAACCAGGAGCCAGCCAAACTACACCCCTCCCATTCCCTCCCTTGTGTAGTTTGGGGTGGTGCGAGCAACAAGACCACTCAGCCAGTCATCCTAGAGGTAAAGCCCAGAGACCTCCGGCGACTAAAGTAAATCGCCTAGGGGTTGAAAACCCGCTAAGCCACGAAGCAGACACTAGTTATGGGGCTGCACATTGCGGTCATGACGATAGGGATCCAGGTAACGCTCCAGCACTGCCGGAGTCCGGAGCTGGCTGAACTCCATCAGGGCGGGAACTCCCTCACCGGCCGACGCCGCGGCCTGCAGTGCACCACGGCGGAAACAATGCACAGTTTCCCCGGTGTACATCTGGGCAGATCGCAGGTGTAGCAGTAACCGCGCTGTGAGAGTGGCACTCTGCAGCGCCTCCACCTTGAAAGCCCGCTGGTCCGCCATCAGCGGGCGGAACAGCGTGTCCTGAACGGTGCTCCCAGGAGGGGCACCAGGCTGAGCACAGGACCACATGTACAAGGCCAGCGTCCGCGGGATGCAAAAGGCAGGTTCCACACTGTTGGGGTGCAGCAGCACCAGAGGGGCGCACACCAGCTGGTAGGTCTTCGTTCCCCGCTGGCGGAAGCATAAGATAGGGCAAATGCCAGGGCCCCAGAACCATGGCGGAGGCAGAGGGAATCCAGAGTACGGTCGGTCAGGCTGGGAAGGTTCAACGAAGTCGCCCAACCCCAACTTCCCGATAACGTGACCCCTCTGGGCGGTCTGCCACAGGAGAAGCACACACAGCAGGTCCCGCAGGAAGACCAATCGAGGCAAAGCTTCATCAGTCACCGCCACCTGCGACCACAGGTACTGCACGAGGGCCCAGTACTTGCGGGATGACAAGGGTACGGCCGAAACCTCAGTGTAACCCGTGGTGACCTGAGACCGCTGATAAGACGCGCAGAAATCCTCGACCCAGACGCAATCACAAGGGTTGCCTCGGCCAGTAGAGACGTCGAAGCAACCACCCTGGCCTGCACGGCTGAAGAAACCGCTCAAGGCGGACAGGTGGGACTTCACAGCTGCAGGCAGGCCCAGCGGGGCCACCACTCCGGCCCTGATGTCGAGACAACCACCAAACCGTCATGTAGACAAGCACTTCATCAGGTGTACAAGTCCACCAGTCCCGACCACGGCCATGGCTGGAAAGCCAATTCAAGAACTCGGTGGCGGCACCATCCTGGCGAGACACCGTGGAAAAAAAGGCTAAGGCCCCCAGGAGCCACTGGTTGGCCGCGGCCAGACCCCGCTGATAAGCAGCTTCCTGGTCCACGAGAGGAGAAGGACGGAGCCGAGCGATCACCTGGTCTAGGCGACCGTGGGCCACACCCAGGGGAGCGGGTGCCTGTGTAGCAGTCGCTCACCTGACGGGTCGACTGACTAAGCGGAAGCGTTGAGTTGACAGTCCTCACCGAGGCAGGAAGGAGACCAACCCAGCAGCAAGCACTAGCGTACATAGACGCGTACGAAACAATCTATATGGCGGCAGCAGAGTCTTGAACTCCAAACACCTAGTAGTCGTGATACTACAGTGTCTGGCCAGAGCACCCCGCCCGGGTAGCTTATATCTCGGCCTACCATTCAGGACAACTGGAAATCAGTGGATTACATTTTATTAAACTAAGGGTGTATTTCCAGTGCGGATTAAGGCCAGGGATTAAGCCTCTGTCCTCCATCGATACTTGCTCAAACGGCTAAGTTGTTGGCAAGCTTACCTCGTCTTTTCAATCTTTGGTTCCCTTATGGAACGAAACTATGTGGTAAGCTCGTACCAAGGACGTCCGTGCCCTAATCCCTGGCCTTAATCCGCACTGGAAATACACCCTAAGCCTAAGGAGAAAGGGATCAGCCGAGATGCAAGGAGGCAGACTGTGTACCAGCTACTACAGATGGGTTGCCTATGTTAGGAAGTTCCCATCTCAGGATGTCGCGGCCAACAGTGTGTGGTTGTGGAGGTTATCCAGTACATTCCCTGGGAGGTGTATCGCCTTGCTGTCATCACTTCTGGGCCTGTCCGGTGGCACAGGCAGTAGCAGATCAACTTACTCTGTCGATAGGATTGCCAGTCAAGGGAACAACTTTGGCTTGTCCAAGCCCCACAAACAGTGCAACAATGTGTTTGGGATGTTGTGGCTAGTGCTGCAGTGTAAGCCATGGAGCATGGGAGACGACATATGGTTGCAAACATGAAAACCAACCCGACACTGTTACCTGGCCCTTCCCTTACGGAAGGAGCCATTTGTCGAGTTGTTGTTGACTTTTGGGGCCGCCTTCAGGGTTTCGCAGCTCTGGGAATTCCACGGAAAGGTTGGGATTCTGTTGGCGCAAATCACCCCTTCTTGCGAATTGTGTCAGGCAAATTATTATGCTCACGGGAGCGGTCACCGATGGGCGATTAGCTATCACTTATTTTTTTATTGTCTTAATTGGAGGACTTTTGAGGCTCAGGCCTATTCAATAATAACTGGGGATCCTGAGCCTTCCCTTTGGTCGCGGTTTTGACTGTCTAATTTGTATATCAGTCTCTAGTGCAGTGCACGGCCAGCTGGCCCGCTGGCTCTACTCTTCGTGAGTCTGGAGCCCACTGTAACCACCACACACACACACACACACACACGCGTAACACCTGCTGACCAGGAGCAGCTGAAGCCGCACGCCACGCGGATATGTAGGCTTGCCCACCATAATGACTTCGGAGGATAGCTGAGTGCTAGGGAGTTGTTACATCTTTGAGTGTGCAGGTGTTGAAGCGGCGCGAAATGATGAACGGCGGTGATGAACGGGGGGAAATGATGGCGGTGAACATCGTTCAGAGTTGCTTGCTGTCGTAGGGAGTGTTTCGTGAATGTACATGTGGTTTCATAGAAGAATGCAACTGGATGATCTGAGGGGGCTGTGGTGAGTCAGCCATTGGTGAGGGGCGCATGGGCTTACAATTCTAAGCCAAGGAGCAACATGGTAGAAAGCATGTCCGCCGAATCATGCAAAAAAATATGATTGGCACTCTCATCGCACCCATGCCCCACAAATTTTTTTGTTGTCATGTTCCTGGGTGGGTGCAAACAGGACAGTCACTCAGCTCACCCCTTCTGGCTCCTGGCTGCTAGCACCATTACCATACCTTTCACAGCCTGCATTTGCGGTTCTCAAGCTATTTGAGCACTGCACGGGGAAACCACATCATATTGGCCTTCATGGCTGACGCGGGTGATGTACTGCTGCTTGATGCACCTGTGCCTGTAACACATCTGGTTCCGTACAGCGGAGCAACTCCCAAACTATCAAATTTATTTTCAGAGCACGCACAATCCCAGGTTAGTATGCTTGATGGTTGTTAGAATTGGGGGCGCGGCCGTGTAATGTGAGGCTATCCAGCATGATGTCAACCATTCCTGAAGCCCTGTGTACAGTGCTCCCCGCAGCAGCCAGTTAGGGATCCAAGCTTATGACCTGGCAATCTGAAGCCGCCACACACAGCGGACGGCCTAGCAGAGTTATCGCTGCATTTCGTACCCCTCATTTCGTACCCCTCATTTTGTACCCCTGATGTCGTACCCCTCATGTCGTACCCCTCATGTCGTACCCCTCTTATGGGAAAGGAACTATGTATCGCTGGTGTGCCCCGAATAACAGGTCACCCATATCATGAGCTACAGTGTCTGTTGCTTTGTCTTCTCCAAACAGCATATCCCCATTGGATGGCATATTGCAGCTCGTGTCATTTCTGCACAAATGGATACTGCATACACACCAGGCCAATTTTCGCATACAGTGCATCTACCGCACTTACAGTGCTCGCCACCGCCGCCACCGACCTTTGTGCGGCTGTGCGTTCATCATCGATAGATCTAGGTGACTTGCGATGTCTGGTCTGGGTGGGTGTCCTGTTTGCCCTGATCTCTCAGGTGCAGTAATGCACGGCCAGCTGGCCCGCTGGCTCTACTCTTCGTGAGTCTGGAGCCCACTGTAACCACCACACACACACACACACGCAGTATCCAGTATCCACACACGCAGTATCCAGTATCCAGGAAACGATGGCAGCACCACTACTCCGGATTTCCGTAAGCTGAGTCCCTTTGGATATCGATTTGACGCCCAACCCCTGGCCAGCTTGCCTTCAGTGTTTCTCGGGTTTGACCGCTGGTTCAGACTCAACAAAGATTATGACAACCTGAAGGTAAACCTAAACCGTTCTCTAGCTCTGCTTGCTACCAAGTTACAAGTTACAAGTTCCGCACACAAGTGTGGGTGTGTCCGTAAAAGCCGGGGGGGCCATGGACGTTGTATCGGTATTGATGCGGGTACACGGGAGGTCATCTTCATTCTCCCTCGTCCGCTTCAGGGTGAAGCGCCTCAGCGCGACGTGCCTGGCCTCCCAAATTTCCGAGAGGTACCTGGCCAATGCCAGGGGTGGCGTCTCAGTCATAGTGGTGCGCATGCTGCGCCCCATAAGGACTAGGTCACCAGCATACTTAGCTTGTATGCTCTTGTAAGCGGGACATTCTTCGAAAACATGCAACTCATCTTCAACCGCTCCACAGTCACAAAGCCTGCAGGTACGCGCGGTGCGCGCACGCCCATTAGGCCTGTTAACCTCTAACTCCCAAGCCTAACCGAGACCGCATGAGCACATGATGAAGTCGCTGGGGCATGGTCCCTTAAGTGCTCCAACCAATTGAGACGCGCACCCCTTGACGGGGCAGCTCCCATCTAGTTCATATAGCGACACGCCTTGGCTCCGGTAATTCCTATGGGGAAGACGCGGGGGTCACCCAAGGTATTCGGGCACTCCCACCGTGCATCAAGCCGCTTGGCAAATACCTTAAGAATGCTCTCAACTGGCAATTTAAGGGTGGTGTAGTACGATATAAGATCATTACCGCGCGTATTAGTGGGGGGTTCCACTCCTAAGCTAGTAAGAAAGGCTAGTACCTTGCTTGCCCAACACTCAGTGACGCCCCCAAGTGCCAACTCCAGGTCAGCGACAAATCCCCGGTGACACAGCGTTCCCGGCCTCTTAACCACAGAGTTCCAAAACCTAAGTACAAGATTGGTCCAATGGAACTGGAGTGGCCTCTGTGACAGCTCGCGATATAGGGAAACCATAGTCGGGCTCCTCGCCCCAACTACGGTTCGCATGTAAGCACGCTACCAGATCTACCGGTTTCAGATTCCAATATCTCGATATTTACGATTTGTGAACTATGCTTGAACATCAAACAGCGCCCGCAATAGTTTGAAAAACGTCCAAACGAAAGCGATCCATCCAGCTTGCGCAGCAACAGCTTTCAAATTTCTCGCACATCAGCATATGCAGACCACCCATATGCGGATCACGCGGGGCACCCAATAACCGGGGTAGATAGGAATAAACTCGCACGCCAACGACCTCGCAAAAGTGGCTGGCGCGAATGCGGAGACGGATCGACCACGCGGCGCCCTCCCTCGCCACAGCAGTGATTGGAGAGATTCAAACATGTTCAAACCAAAACCAACCGTCTCCTCGAAACCACGACAAGATTGCAACCACACGCACTGAACTATAACCCTAACAACCCGGCGTAATAAGATCGTACACGAACGGCTATACGTCGCAGGAAAATACTGAAGCTCACGCGAATGAAGACTTCGCAACTGCCATGGCACGGTGTCGCTTTGGGAATATCAGAGGGACGACCTGGTATTACCCTAATGGTGCATTTCATCGCCTCTCCTTCCAAAGGGGAAGAAACGGAAGGGGATGGCTGTCGCCTGAATGAAGTTTAATTTTGTTGTATTAGATATAACAACTTTGACCTTCGTTGTTGTGTTACGCTTAAAACAATGTCCCTTTGACAGCGTCGTAAGCGCAATATTATTATTTTTTTATATTTTTTGGGATCCCTCACCAGTATTTTAGTTACTCAAGCGCTAGTTTAGTCATTTCCGCCGGCTTCGTCCATCCCCATCTGACGTGAAAAAAACGGTCACCCGACAGCACCAAGCCCCTTCCTCGCTCAAAGCTACACGCCGTCTAACGGGAGCCACCACAGCTCGCCGAGCCGCTCACGCACGTCGTCAAACCGTGAGCCTTCAATCGTGTCAAGTAGATCGACATTGCATCTGCAGGCCTGCAGAATCATTGCCCTGCTCGCGCACGCGCCGCTTCCTAACCAGGCTACAGCCAGCCAGCCAAAGACGCGTTCTCCAGGAAGGGTCCTTACCGCCTCTGAGGACACAACACAGCAAGTTCCAGCGTGCGCGTCTCAACGATGATGAGAGCAAAAGAACGACGAAATGGCACATGCAAATGCGAATACTTCGATGCTCCCAACGCGAATGTTAACATCACAGCCAGCTCGCAGAAACGCCGCCACGGATGCTTGCATGCATGCGGCTGACACGGGCACGGATGCAGTCACACATCAGTCACACATGGGCGCCATTTTCTCGTTGGTTAGCACGTACACGCACATGCACACGCTCGCTAATACTACCTCTCGGACAGGATAACCCGCCTTCCCTTCCCATTCCCCCATCGCTGTCCCTACCGGCAGGACGGATCCCCCCCTCCACAGGTCCCTGCCTCTCTCCCGCCCAACTCCCCCACGCTCAAAAATGTATCCGAGCCGTAACATCACCAGCAGCAACTGCCGCTGCAACGTTGAGGCGCCGTCGCTGCATCAATTCCACCAAGCAGTTAGGGCAGAGGCCCGGACTGCCCTTGTGGGTGGCCGTACAGGCGGCTGCAGCGGGTTCCGTACACCAGACTCTACATCCAGAATCTAGATCCAGATCCTGGCAGGAGATTCCATCGCGATCCAACGGTGCGCGAAGTGAGAAGCACATACTTGGGAGCAATTTCCCCCCCCCGAGTAAGCACCCCGCCTGTTTCAACCGCATCCACTGCAGCTACCAGTACCCAGCAAGGCTCCAAGGATAAGAATCCTCTAGAACTCTCTAGAATCCTAGCCGCCCGAAGCAGAAACGGCAAGGCGCCCCTTCAGGCCCCCCCCTCCACGGCCCTTGCCTGACACAGCATTAAACACCCAACACTTCTTACGGCAGTCCCACACACACACTCGCAAGGGCTCGCAAGGCTCGCTCTCACAAGTGTCGCGTTCAGGGTTACCTCGCGGGGAGATGTGGAGGAGGACCGTAGCAGGGCAGCGCAGTGCACACGGAACGAAACGCAGTCTCTCGCAGATACATAAGCATCACATGTCCCGGTGCTCCGCATCCGCATCCGCCAGCAGAGCACAACGTCCCCACAACGTTCCCCGGTGCCGATTACCAAGAAGGGAAACACGCACCGGTTGTGTAAGCCTGCATGGCCACACAACCCGCCTGTAGTAGTAGTATTATAGTAGTAGTAGTAGCAGTAGTAGAAGTAGCAGTAGTAATAGTAGTAGTAGCAGTAGTAGATAATCGCGTATCCGCACATAGTCGTGCGTGCTCGCTGTGGTCAATAACTTCACGACCTTGTCTTTCAGGACCGCATCACTTCCCTCCCACTGCGTCGCGTCCAGCTCCACAAGCATGGCTTGCTGCTGAGCAACGTCTAGACGCCATACCTCGCCCCCGTCTTTCAGGAGCAATATTGGTTGAGACGCGTCACCCTCACCAAGGTTTACGCGTGTACCCGCCACCTTCACTCCCAGCCCAAGTGGGCAGTAGTAGTAGTAGTAGCAGTAGTAGTACTGTGCACGACGGAGGACGACAGCCGGATTGCAATGCCATTCTCCAGCCAACTTCGTCTTCAACATGAAAAGTATTCCTTGCTCGCACTTCCTCTCCTCTCACGCGCTCCACTCCTCTCCTCCATGTCGGTTCACAAACTTCATAAATTTAGCTTTCATCAAGTAAAAAAAACAATTGGACTTCCAACTGGTCGCCTAACAAGTCACCCTGACCTCAATAGGCTTGCAATATTCCAATCAGGATCAATCGACCCGGAAGGCCAAATAAGCGCAGATCGATAAGATGTAATTAATCAACTGGGAACTACGGTCACGGTCTCTGCTACGGTGGCCGGCGCCGGCGGCTTCACTTCATTAACCAGGGGCTTGCCCAGAACGAAGTCGGCAATGTTCTGACATGTGGTGGTGGCGATGTTGAAGAGGGCCTCCTGGGTCAGGAACGCCGAGTGCGGTGTGACCAGGACCTGAGGGTAGCTCAAGAGCGTCTAAATGTGGTGGTGACATGAGGTGGGGGGTGGGGCATAGGGGGGAGCGAGGTGAAGGAAGACAATGACGAAAGTGCACATGGCTGCGCGGGGGGGGGGGAGGGATAGGGGTTGGGCGGATGGTGGGACATGGGAAGCCGTTACATAGACACAGATAGACAGACAGACAGGTAGACATGGAGCGCGTGAGTGCAGTACGGAAGAAAGAGCGAGAGCGAAGGGTGCTCTGGACGGGAAACCCACCTTGAACTTGCGGTCCCAATTCTGCATACGTGTCTGCGTCTCGTACATGGTGTAATCCTGCCGTACAACATTGACCAAAAGGGGCGCAGGATGTGGGCCCCGGGTGTGGGTACGCAGTCCGGCCGAGCCACACGGCCGAGGAGTGCAGCGAGAGACTGGAACCACCCGAGATCCCCTCTCTCTCTCTCTCCCCTCTCTCCCTTGCACCCTGCCCGTCATCTTCCCCACCAGCTTCACACAGCGAACCACGGACACAAGCTCACGAGGTCCGCCAGTACTTTACACAACATCCGCCGCCAGCAGTCGCAACCCATTCCGCCGCCACCCACAATCCCACCGCTATGCCTCCCAGCCGTACCACGAAGAATAGCCCGCCCTCGTTTTCGTACACGTCCAGCCCCAGAGCCCCAATCTGGCCGCTTTCAAGCGCATCGAACAGCGCCTCGCTCTCAATCAGTCCGCCTCGGCTCACGTTGATCAACATGGCTCCTGGCTTCATGTGCTGGACGCTGGATACGGGAGGAGAGAACGGCGGCGGTGGCGGACAAGGTGGCGAGAATGGTGCGACACAAGAGGCCGCAAGGTGAAAATATGGATGGGACGGGATGAAGGGAATGGAGGGAACAGGAAATCCAGTCACACCAGTTCACAAAGGGCTTCCCGGAAATCGGCAAGGTGTGTCCTGCGAACCCATAAAGACCCCGGGAGGCCGCAGCTGGTACCGCAGCTAGCTGGTGGGACCCCAACGGACACGGCTTACGTCTCTCTGTTGATCAAGTGACGAGTGGACGGCAACAGCGGACAGTGCAGCGTGATGATGTCGCACTTGGGAAGCATCTCCTCCAAGGACACGTACGGAATGCCCATGGCCTCCACTTTGGGGTTGTGGTACACGTCGTACGCCAGCACCGTACAGCCGATGCCCTGCCGTAACACCCCACCACGCGGACGGCGCACGCCCGTAAAGCCGGGTCAGGAACCCCGTGTGCGCACGACATAGGACAAAGGATGGGGCAGAGAGTCCCTCCCCACGTCCCGCTATTTCTTGTTGCGCGATATCCCTGCCCCACGCAACAGGGAGAGCATGTCGCCATCCCATTTGCGACGTGGACGACAGGCGCCCGGCTAGGATAACCGGACTCGGCTGGACGTAGAAAGGCTAGCCCAGGGAAAGGTGGAGCTCTCCCAGTCTTTGAAAAGGAAGGGGGCGGCACCGGGACGGCGATAACCGGGACGGCCGCACAGCTCAACGCGAATAAGTTCCTGAGTTCCCGAGCTTCGGAGCAGCTTCCCAGAACCAGCACGTGCGTGTGCCACAAGAGTTACGTACGGCGTTCGTACCTTCAGGATACGGCACGCCTGGATGCCAATGGCGCCGGTACCGATGACGCCCACCACCTTCCGCCCCATCTCGAAGCCCACAAGACCGCTCAGGGAGTAGTTCCCCATGCGGGTGCGGATGTGGGCTTCGTGGAGATGCCTGAAAGGAGGTGCCGTACGGGTGCCGTACCGATGCCGGTATTGGGGCAATGCAGGGCTTGCTAAATCAGGGATCAGGGTCAAAGTACGGTAGGTGTACACTGCGTCTCGATGTCATTGCATCTAACGTGTGTCTATCCCACCCCGGCTGCCCTCATCTTCATCCTCCTCCTCCTCCTCCCCCGCCCCCTCCTCCCCCTCCTCCTCCTCCCCCTC